TTGTTACCTTCTATAACATGTAGAGAAAAATAATATCAGTTTGTGGTGTCCCTACTGTGAAACTATCCACTACTTCTAAAATAATATCAGTTTGTGGTGTCCCTACTGTGAAACTATCCACTACTTCTATAACATGTAGAGAAAAATAATATCAGTTTGTGGTGTCCCTACTGTGAAACTATCCACTACCATGAGACGTTCGTTGTGAATTATAGTGTTTGTTATAGCGCGAATGTGGAAATTAAGTGTATTGCAAAGTTGTATTCAGAATGAATAAACCAGTTTTATTTGAGAAAGGGCTTGTATCGCTAAAGTTTCTTCGGAAAGAATTTTTTACGGAAAATTAACTAACGACTATAGGCGTAACAGTAACATCGAAGTGAAAGATTTTAATACCTGGTAGATTTTTCACAAGAAAGTTGTCAAATGTGCAGAAAATTAGAAAAAAGGAACTTTAATAATATATAATTTTTATCATACTGATCATGTTCAAAAAATTGATCTGAAGAATACGTCGAACAATAAAATTTATGCCGAACTTAACTTCAATGACAGATATGTGCATTCTTATTATCTGGCCATATATATAGCATGGGATTCAATATAAACTTTACTAAATCCGAGATACTGTATCTTGAAAAATTCCTTTCTTTTTTCATAATCATCACGACCACTGTAACGACATACACTTTTATTTTGGATGATTTTGTATTATACATAACAAGATGTAGATTTAAATATGATGTTTTTTATTCACCATAAGGCCTGAAAGAAAATTTCGTTCAATGAGCTTCTACTGCAACCGTACTTTATTATTCTCGTGTCCTTTGAACACCTCTTTCGTAACTTTCTCATTCAAGCTTCATTGTTTAACTTATAGAAATGTATAATAACCATATTAGGTATGAATTTACGTGAGTCTCTACAAACAGTCAATTCGTGCCAAATTCGAAATGGTCACGTGCACATTGAAGCTACAAGGGAATTATCTGCTCTAACCTCCCACGCTAACTCTTGCGAGACTGAATATTAGGATTTGACTGTCACACTTATAACTAACCCACAGCCCAAAAATGGTGAGAGCAATATTTATTTGGTGGTAATGGGGCACGAATCTGGAACCTCAGATCCATAGTCCGACAGAGTACCCGCTGGGCCACACTCAACACTTAAATGGTCGCACTCTTAGCATTTATTTCTGGAATAATAAGTGTTGAACGCCAAGCAAATAAAATGTAATGTATTTTAGAACATAACAGCTAATCTACTTTCTGATAGCCATTAGTACAAGTGACAGATTTAAATTAGGCTAACAGAAAAAAATATTCGAATAGGAGTTTATGAAATCTCATCTGATACACTGAATAGCGCCCCCAACCGGAATCTCATTGAAGGAATAATTTTTGGAATATTTTTTAACTATTAGATATAATGCCAATAAATTTTGCCACATTTAATTTCTATTACACTCTAAGCTTAAAAACTAAGTAATTAGTTATAAAAAAACACTTGTAGGTTATTAACAGAATTATGTGCCAATCTTTAAATTCAGCATATCAATACCACGCGGGAGTCGACTCAACTGTCAATTACTCATTACCTCCTTGCCGTCAGTTCTTACTGGTTTATATATACAAGACTACCATATATCTAGTAGGCTCTCGAAATTTCAGGAAGGGACGTGAACGTTCGAGAATATGATGCGTTACTAGCGTCACGTGACCCCCGCTATCGTAACAGTATATAAGTGACTTTTACAGACAAGCGTAGATAAAAAATGACAAACCTTATCGCTCTAATTTTGTCACAGAACTTTTCCGTTTGGAGTCTCAGTGATTCCTTTCTTGGAATTAAAATGAAAATAACGCATTGGTTTTCTGTTTATGGACTATGTGTTTATGCATGAAATAAGACTAGACGAAATAATTTGAAAATTACTATATTAATATAGAAAACGTATATTATGTCTGTCTACTTCAAATCCAAGGAAAGCTAATTATCAATGGTTTTGATTGCTAGTCATGTGTTTGAATAATGACTTATGTAATCAATGGACCACGTGGAAAGGATAATATTATTACACGGTTTCAGTTTATAAAATTGTTTATGAACACTGATTTCAATATGAATATTCAATGTTCAGTACTTTTAACCTCATAAATACCCAGGACCAGATTTAAACCCTTTAAGGATTACATGCAATACTGCCATGCTGGAGACCCTTTTCCTAGGGTGATTCAAAACTAAAGCCCCTATGCAATTGCATGGGTTGAACTTCCTCTAAATCCGCACTGTAAATACCTATTCTAACCTATTGTTACGTCTCCGTTCGTTAGTTAATTTTCCGTAAAAATTCTTTCCGAAGAAACTTTAGCGATACAAGTCTTTTCTTAGAT